TGGAGGCACACCGCCGAATTTGGTGTTGGTGTCAACCTCTGGGCCTGCGACAGTCGGGCCGTTGAAAGAAGAAACGCTGAATGAGGAACGGAGCCCCTTTTTGGCTCTAAGAGCGCCTCCGTGCCCGAGCAGGGCGAGGGGGGCAGCAATGGAGGAGCCTGGGGAACATCGAGCCCCTTCCGACTCCAAGCACTTCCTCATTCCAGCGTCTTGACTCTACAGCGAAGACCTCACGTGGCGTCGAAGCCGGCGCTCGGACCTCCCGAGGGTCGGCCCCTGGAGCCACGCTCCGGCCGACCCGTCAGCGGCGAGCCGTGGCACGCATCCGGGAAACTGGCAAGAGTGCAGGTTTGCAAATCTGGGTTCGAGCTCCGTGAATTACAGCGCGCACTTGAAGTCCAGATAGCTGCCAATCCAGCCAACTCACAAAACCAACTGCCACTGCAGACAAGCACCAGTACCAATGCCGACCTGTGCAACACTTGCACGGATGGATGCGGCTCCTTTTCAACACGGAGCTCTCGCTGGACACCGTGGAACTCCATAATCCTACCGTTTTGCACTCCTTACCCGTCTGCAAAAAGGGTGCAGGGCAGTCCTTTTCAGAACGGGGACCTCGCCGGAACGGCAGGCCCAGATGGTGCAGATAATGGTGCTCGTCTTCCAGGGGGGTGTTTCTTGCGGCGCACACGAAATCTTGCAAGGGCCTACAGTAGGGGCCCGACTGCAAGAAGCCTGCCACAAGAAACCCAGCCCTGAGATCCCAGGACGTCCATCTGGCCATCGCTCGGACGTCCATTCCCTGTGCTTTTTTCGGTTTCGTGCGTGGTTCTTCGCCAAATGATCAAGGATGCTCCTCGATGGTCCTCGCCGAAGGAAAAACGCACACGTCCGAGCGATGCCAGGACCCTGAGATCCCAGGACGTCCATCGGTTTCTGATGTGGGAGCGTCATGCTCTCCGTAGCAAAACCATCGAAACCCGAGAAACCCTGCGCACCCTGGAGGCAAGCACGGTGTCTCTTGGCATGGGTCTCCACTGCATGAGGGGGAGGGGACTTGGGGTGGCAGGGTACAGTACAGCATGGTTGACGACGCCTGTGTTTGCTCTGGCCCTCCTCCTCCACCTGCCTCTATCCCTCCTCCACTTCCTCCTCCCTCCCTCCCTCCGTTCCCTCCCTCCCGCCTCATCCTCCCTCCACTTCTCCATCCCCCTGTCCCTGAAAGTCGTGTCCCCCCTCCCGTCCCTCCCTCCTCCTTCTTACCACCGCCACGCTCTGGGGTCGTGGCTATGGGCGGTATCGGCGCGTTGTCGTACGGGCAGCGGCCGCCCCAGTGGACGCAGCCGATCACGCAGCGCCGGCAGACCACGTGCCCGCAGCGAGCCTGGGACAGGGCAGGCCGCAGAGCTTGCCCCCCCCCCACCCGTCCTCGCGCCCCGCACTGCGCGAGGGCGCGATCCCTCTCCTGGCCATCGCTCGGACGTCCATTCCTTGTGTTTTTGTTCGGTTTCGTGCGTGTTTTTTCGCCAAATGATCAAGGATGCTCCTCGATGGTCCTCGTCGAGAAAAATGCACACGTCCGAGCGATGCCAAGTCTCGGCCCCCCTGGAGGATGGCGAATCTCCAGCCCAGACCGCGAGGCAAGGTTGTGGACGCCCGAGATGGGCAGGGAAAAAGTGAGTACCGTGCCGAACAGCAAAATGACAACGTCCGCGGCGGCGCGGACAGCGAGTCCTGTTCAAAATGAACAGGAGCTGCTGTTGGCCATTGTACTTCTTCTTTCCGTGCCCATTTCGATCGTCCCGATCGGAGCAATATTATATTCCTGTCCCTGCGAATGACCCGGCTCACTCCCTGCCTCCCTCGTTTCTGGGCCCTCCCCGCCCCTCCCCATCCCTGCCGTGCGTCTTCCCCTCCCTCGCCTCCAAACTTCTCTGGATGGTGAATCGGTCCACTCAGGATCGTGGCTCTGTCCGTGTTGCCATGTCTCATACGGTTTGCAAACCGATTCACGATTCAAAATGACAAGCTTACAAATCTTGACCTGATCTACTCGGGATTGAAAACCGAACAATTCGCGATCCAAGAACACCGCGGATCCTGATCTGGTCCATTCTGGATTGTAGAACGGTCTTCTATGGATCGTGAATGTGTCCACGTTCGATATAGAGCGAACCGCTTCACGGTCCAGGAAAGCCGGGATCCAGTCCATTTTGGATAGAAATGTGCATTCTGAGTTGTTGATCGGTATACTCTGGATCACCTCAGGGCCCTTTGGAAGAGACCTCCCCAAATCTTCTCAATCCGTTTTGGAGTGGGACTCGGTCCGCTGTAGATCGTCAGTCGGTCCAATTTGAACAACGAGTCTGCACATCTAAATAATGAATGGGTCCGCTCTGGATCACCTCGCCCCTCCTTAATTCCACCGACACGCGCAAATGTTGCAACAATTTGGGGGAAACCTCCCCAAGCCGCTCCGGTCCATGTTGTGTCCATTACGGATCACCTCGCCCCCCAGGGCCCAATGACGCCAATGTGGTAATTTCTGGGAAGCCTCCTTTCGTCCACCCTGGATCGTGAATCAATCGGTTCTGGATTGTGAGACCGTTCATTCTGGGTCGTGGAATAGGTCCATCATCCGAAACGGACCAGTTCACATTGGTGAGATCCCATAGGGGAATAATATGACATTGGGGTACGGATGCGCCACTGCTTTTGCCAATTTCCAGATAATCCGCGCCTTGCCTTCAGAATGTTGCAATGCGACGCATGCCAGATAAGAAATACTTGGCCTCGCAATGCCGGGGGCATGGGCACTTTTGGCTGGACTCAAGGTTTTCCACATCTGCTTATGATGAGTCTGGATGGCCCTGCCCTCGGGTGGCACTCGCGCATGTCGTGCAGGGTTGGTGTGACAATCAGATTCGTCAACTGGGTCGGCATGCCGATCGCGATCGTCATGCGGGGGTTGTAAAGCAGATGTCTTCGATAGGAACCCTTCCCAAATCTGGCATGTAAGATGACCCCCCCCCGTGTTTCCCCCTCTCCTCTGATAAACTCCAGATCCCTCCTAGCACGTTTGAAAGCGAGGGGGGATGGCCGCCCCGCGGTGGGGGAACGAGCTCGCTCGGCGGCCTCTGGAGCGTGCCTGGTGGCTCTTGAAGGGCCGCACGAACCCTCCAAGACGGCGCCAACGACTTCCCCAGAGCGCACCAGGATCGGGCAAGAAGCCTCGACACGACTCGAAGAGGCTCCGCGGGACTCCACTAACCTCACAAGAGGCAGCAAGCGAAGCCCACCGACGCTCCACGATAACCTCCAGACACCTTGCACCGTTGAACCCCCCACATGAGCGACGATCAAAAACGGCTCTTGCGCGAGATGACGTAGCGACCTTACGCCGAAGCGCGGGCCGCCGGCGCGGCACGCTACTTTGGAGACGAAGGAGCTTACGACGCGACCTCACGCGGGCAGCTTACGCGCCAATGTCGGCGCAAACGACTCCGTTGTTTGTGCGTCGCTCATCTGGTGTTCTTACCGTGTCTGGTCTCTTCTGCGTCTCGGCCCCAGATGGCTCCCAGATGCCTGCTGAGGTCTTCACGGCATCCCGAGGAGGCACCACCCACTCAAAATGGGGGAAAAGAGCGCCCACAAGAATCCCTGAACGGCTCAGCACGGCTTTCCGGAGCAGGAGCCCAAGACCGTCCCAGAGAGGCTCAACACTACCGTGGAGGCCAGTCCACAAGAAGCTTTCCACAAGAAACCCAACCCTGAGACCCCAGGACGTCCATAGGTTTTTGGTATGGGACCGTCACGCTCTCCATAGCAAAACCATCGAAAACCAAGAAACCCAGGGCACCCTGGAGGCAGGCAGGGTGCTTCTTGGCATGGGCTCCCACAACACCCAGACGACGCCGAGGCGCCCCAAAAGGCCCCCAACACGCCCGAACGCGCCCCGGGACGGCTGAAGAGGGCCCTGGATGCGCCCGAAGAAGCCCCGACGGCTCTCAAGACGCCCCCCAGACGCCTCCGAGATGGTTCAAAGGAGTCGCGGGAGAGCCCCTGAGAGTCCAGAGCTGTCTATACTCCGAAACCCTAGCCCAATGGGGGCCTCAGACGGCGCGAGGACGGCCCGAAGGAGACGCCCCCCAGACGCCTCCTGCGCCTCGTGTGCCCCTACTCCCACTACATGTGGCAAAATCGACGCTGAGCGCATCTACGCGAATATGTGCTATTTCCTCCTCCTCCTCCTCCTCCTCCGCCTCCGCCTCCGCCTCCTCCTCCTTCTCCTTATGAATAACTCCTCCCTGTCGCAACCCGAGGCCGATCGACAGGGCGGGCCGGGCGTCTCGCCTGAGACTTCCTCAGCATGTATGACCCTGAATCGCCACTAGTTTCACAGATGGAGAGCGGGTCGCTTCCAAAATGCGGCTCTCGCCTTCGCGCCGCGCGCATTCGTTCTAAGCATTTGTAAGAGTTTCACGGATGGAGGGCGGGTCGTTTTCAAAATGTGGCTCGCGCGCACATTCGATTTCAAAATTCGCAAGAGCTTCCAGGATTGAGGACGGGTCGTTTTCAAAATGTGGCTCTCGCCTGAGCGCCACACACGTTCGTTTTAAACACATGCAAAGGTGTCACGGATTCCCATGGTAAACGTACCAGAAATGATGTTCTGGAAGGGTTCAGGATTGTGAGGGCGCAACAGTTAAGCTGATTCGCGATGTTGATGTCACAAGTATGTTCTGGCACGATTCTGGATTGCCGAGACGCAACAGTCATGTGGATTCGTGGCGTTGGAGTCCCGAGCACGGTGTTTTGGCATGCGTCAGGGTCTTCAAATGGTTGTCTCCCAACGAGGCGGACCCCTCAGTGGAAATGAGCCCTTGCAGGGGCCTGTGAAGAGGAAGCTTGAAGGGAGGGTTTATTCCAACATCGTTGATGAGTCTTTGGTTTACACTGGTCCTCCTTCTCCTCCTCCTCCTCCTCCCTTGGCGCCTCGTCCCCCAGGCGCCACCGCGTCTCGTGGTGCCCGTGCTGCTCGAAGCAGAGGCAACACTGCCACCTGCGGGACTGGTGCTCGCAAGGGCCACACTTGCGGGCTTCCTTCACTTGGTCGACGATCAAAAACGGGGAACGAGCTCGCTCGGCTGCCTTTGGAGCGTGCCTGGTGGCTTTTGAAGGGCCTCACGGACCCTTCAAGACGGCGCCAACGACTTCCCCAGAGCGCACCAGGATCGGGCAAGAAGCCTCGACACGACTCGAAGAGGCTCCGCGGGACTCCACACATCCCACAAGAGGCAGCAAGCGAAGCCCACCGACGCTCCACGATAACCTCCAGACACCTTGCACTGCTGAACCCCCCACATGAGCGACGGGTCTTGCGCGAGATGACGTAGCGACCCTACGCCGAAGCTTACGCGGGCCGCCGGCGCGGCACGCTACTTTGGAGACGAGGGAGCTTACGACGCGACCTCACGCGGGCAGCTTGCGCGCCAATGTCGGCGCAAACGACACCATTTTTTTTGTGCGTCGCTCATCTGGTGTTCTTACCGTGTCTGGTCTCTTCTGCGTCTCGGCCCCAGATGGCTCCCAGATGCCTGCTAAGGTCTTCACGGCATCCCGAGGAGGCACCACCCACTCAAAATGGGGGAAAAGAGCGCCCACAACAATCCCTGGACGGCTCTGCACGGCTTTCCGGAGCAGGAGCCCAAGACCGTCCCAGAGAGGCTCAAGACTACCGTGGAGGCCAGTCCACAGGAAGCCTTCCACAAGCCTTCCACAGGAAGCCCCATTCAAAATCGGGGAAAAGAGCGCCCACAAGGGCGCTGCATTGGAGACGAGGGCGCTTACGACGCGACCTCACGCGGGCAGCTTACGCGCCAATGTCGGCACAAACGACCCCGTTTTTTTTCTTGCGTCGCCCACGTGCCAGCGGCGCCAGCACGGGGGCGACCGAAGCCGGACCCCTGGCATGGACGTCGGCGCCCCTCCAACGGGACTCCACCAACAGGTACAGTCGGGGCGTTGACCTAAGGAACCCTAAATAAGGAACGAGGCCCCTTTTGCTCCATAAGAAATCCGCCGATCCGGCGTGTGAGTTTCAAGGAGTCTCAGCTACAGCCTCGAGGCTGAGCCTCAGCCTCTGGGGGGGTTGCCGGGGTGGCTCTGCCGGGGAAGGGGGGATGGGGGGGGGGGGTGCGAGTTTCCGGCGGATGCGGGGCGCTGCTTTTACAGAAGGCTCTAATCTCGAGGATGCGCTGGAAGGGTGGCCGCGGCCGCAAAAGTCTCTGAGGACGGTCTACGAAAGTCCCGAGACCCCGAAGGATCGCCCGAACACGCCCAAAATGGCCCCAAGACGGCCCAAGAGCCTTCCACGACGTCTGAAGAGGCCTCCAAGAGGCCTCCCACGATGGCCCCCAGAGGCAAAAATCGTTGATTCCCATTGGTTTTTTCCAATGTTTTCGGGGTTGTCGCTTTTTTTCGGCTTTCCGACGCTCCAAGACGGCCCAAGAGGCCCCCAAGACCGCTCGAAGACGGCCCAGGAGGCCCCCAGACAGTCCCAAGACGGCCCAAGAGGGCCCCAAGGCGGCCCAAGAGCCGCCCAAGACGGCCCAACAGGCCCCCAAGACGGCCCCAAGAGGACTCAAAAGAGGGACGAAAAGCTGAAAAAATCTAGCCTTCCAGCCCACGAGGCCCCCAGGAGGCCCCAAGAGCCTCCAAGAGGGCTTCCGAAAGCCCCCAAGAAGCCCCCACGACGCCCTGACAGGCTCCTAAGATGGCTCAAAAAACGCCCCAAGAGGGCGTCCTTGCGCCGATAGGCTCGCCTCCACCGTTCGCACCACATCGTCCAGGCCACATGTTTCGTAACACGACTCCGTGCACGACGTATCGTGAGTTTCCAAAGTTATCGGCATCCTGTATGGAATTATCATGTCATTATTATTTCCCGTCCCCACGGTCACTGCAAGCACCCCGCCGTTGATACAACCACTGTTGCGAGATGGCTCTATTGACCCAACTGCATTCCTACGCCCTTTCGAAGGTAAACCGAGAAGTTTGTGCGTTTGAGTGTGCGCCCATAATGTCTGCGTCTGGAGAATAACACCGAGCGACCCGGATCGGCGGCACTGGCCGAAGGCCACTACAATAAGGAACGAGGCCCCTTTTTCTCCATAAGTTAAACTTCGATTTACCATTTAAAATCTAAGGAAAACCCAGGGCAAACTGTAAAACAATCAAGGAGCACGGAGCCCCTCCCCAACGAAAAGGGTTCCTTCTTCAGGGCCCCGACTGTCTTCCGGGGACTCCACTAACAGGTACTCTGGCCAGTGGCCCGGCGAACCCAACCCTTCCCGACGTGGGCAACGCTGCAATGCCAGGCAGAGGCCCTAAAAAAGCAACTTTCGGCAGAATGTCAAAGTACTCGTGAGCGAATTCCCGTGACGGTGCCGCTGAAGACGCGTGGGATCCAACCGACCGGAGAACACAGCACACGAGCTGTCGGGTTGGTTTCCACCGCAGGCCATCTGTGCGATCAGGATCGAGTTGCGCAGACAACCGACTCTCACTGGGGAACGAACTAGAGAGAGAGCGAGCGTTCATCCGGCCCCACTGGTCGTAGGGCCGACCCCGTTTGGGCGGGACGAGTCGGGACGGCGGGGAGGCTGATGCGGCGGCAAAGGCGGAGAAGGATGGCAAAGAAGGAGGGCGAGTGAACGGAGACTGGCTGTGAGCGGGGCCAACAATTAGCACGTGTAGAGAGCCCACAGACTTGTCGAGGCAAATACCGTCTCAGGGGCCCGACGCCTACCGTTCCCTCGGGTATATTGCACTGGCCCAGTGACACGATGTCTTTACTCCCCCTAGTCGCACCGATGCCCTTCTTATCGATCCGACGGAATCGGAGCTCACACAGGGGTGACAACCCAGAAGGGAGAGTAGCGTGACGCGTCCGCCTCCTCGTTCCCGCATCCTCCCTTTTGCTTCTCCTCGACAATCAGACCCACTCATACTCAGGTTACTCATACTCAGACTGCACACACACACACCCACTCGTATCCACTGATACTCAGACCCGCTCATGCTCAGACTCACTCGACTCCGGCAACTCACACTCGGGTCCATTCATTCGCAGCTTAGCCAGTCGCCCATACTCACACGCAGACCGCTCACACTCTGAGCAGTCGCACTAAGACACTGAGACTCACTCGTACTCGCTCCTCACAGTCAGACTTTGTCATGACCATCGCGATGCTGCAAGGCACTTGGGCACCCCAAGGAGGAGCCGCCACGGGCATGCTCGATCAGTTCCCCGTTCGCGCCCTCATTGTGGGGGGCGCCTCGAGCTGGCGGGGGGGGGCTTGTTCCCGTGGACGCGCCTGTGGGGATGTCTCGAGCGAGGCGTTCGTTGAGGGTCCCCGACTCTGCTTTTGACGGCCCCATGGTCACCGCTGTGCAGCAGGCAGAGCACTTGGACCGCCCAAGGAGGTGCCGACGGGGGGTCAGAGATCCCCCCGTGCGCGCCAAGGTTGCGGGGAATGTCTCGGGCGAGGCTCTCGTTTGGAGCTCCCGACCCCTCTCCGTTGGAGGCGTCGTGAGCCTCGCGAAGCAGCAGGCATAGCACTCGGGCACCCCAAGGAGCCGCCAGGGGGTAGGACGTTTCCCCGTCCGCGCCCAGATTGTGGAGACGTCTCGAGCAAGGCGCGCGCTTGGAGTCCCCGACTCCTCTCCTTGGACGACCGATGTAGCAGGCATAACACTTGGGTGCCCCAAGGAGCCTCCATTGGGCATTGTACTTGCACGTTTGCGGCCACACTGTTGAGATGTCTGAAGCGAAACGCTGGTTTGGACACCCCTATGGAACCTCCGAATCCTCTCCGTTCAGGGCCCAATTATCACAGCGATGTAGCAGGCATAGCGCTTGGGCACCCCAAGGGGGGTGCCGCCAAAGGGCTTTTCAGCTGCCCGTGCGTGCATGGTCCAGTGGTTCCCCATGGGGAGTGAATGAGGAGAGAAAGGAGAAAGGGGGAGGAGACGGATGAAGACAAGGGTGGGGCAAAGAGTCTGCTTCTCTGCGGCTGGCCAACTCTCGCGTCAAACTCCGCCTTCTTCGGCGCCTGTGCCGATCGGGGCCGCCAGAACACGTCAAGAACTCCGACGCAGGGCCCCTCTGGGCCCCCTCTACAGGAGTCCTGCCGCGAGGGCGCGGACGTGGCGGGCTTGCTCAGAGCTCGAGGACGAGGCCCGCCGCTCCCTGCGACAGGGGCGCGGCGAAACGCCCGCAGGCCCAGAGAGCCCGCGCGGCCAGGCGCAACCTCTCGCTGCCCTCGTCCGCCAGCGCCACGTGCTCCACCGACCGGGCCTCCCCCGCGGCGGTCTTCTCCGCGGCAGCGGCCTGCGCGGAGGCCATGGCGAGATGGGCGGTGCCGGGGCGCGCAGGGCCCGCTGCCGGCTGCGCGGGCTGGGCCCCGACGCCGAGCCTCCGCCGCCAGGCGCGCGCCGGCTGCGGCGCGGGAGGCTGCTCCGCGGGCGGAGCCGCGGCCGACGGGCTCCGCGCCGCGCCGCGGCGGAGCCCGCGGAGCAGCCGCGCGGGCGCCGCCGTGCCCGGGGGCGCCGCGGAGGGCGGCGGCCGCGGCTGCCCCCCGGCCTCGCGCGGGCGCTTGCGGCCGCGCTCCTCGCCGGCGGGGGGCGCGCCCCGCTTCGGCGCCGGCGCGGCCGCGCGCCCCTGCGCGGCGGCTCCCGCCTCCGCCGGGGCGTCGGCCGACGGGCCCCCGCTGGGCAGCACCCTCGCCTTCCTGGGCCGCGCCCCGGGCTGGAGGTCTCCGCAGGGCGGGTCGCAGAGGCTCGCCCCGTCGGGCTGTGCGTCCTGCCAGCGCCTCTTCCGCTGCGCCCTGGCGCACGCCTGGCTCAGCGCCCTGCGCCTCGCCGGCGCGAGCTCGGCCTCCGCGAGGCCGCGCAGCTGCTGGCAGGACGGGCAGGCGTGCACCGCGCGCCCCGCCATGTCCCAGAACAGGATGTCGCTGCCGCAGCGCCCGCACTGCCTGGGAACCTACTCTAATATTCCGTACAGTGGGGGCTCGGCCACAAGAAACCTCCGCAAGAAACCCAACCCTGAAAGCTGCGATCTGTTCCATGAAAACCCAAATATGTTGATCGAAAATCATCCAGATCTTATTGGGGACCCATCGAAGTCCAAGAAACCCAGGGCACCCTGGCCAAATCCAACTGGTTTCTTGGCACGCGCCCCCACTGTACCCTGTCCTGCATGGTACCCCTTTTCCATCGTTCGCGTTCGTATGTCTCTCTGCCTGCCTCGAGTTGCGCACTTCCGCTCAGGGTTTGGATTGCGGTTGGGGAAGAAGGGCTGGATATGGCCCTACTGGGGCCATCTTCGGGGTAGGGTTTGGGTCAAGGTTGACATTTGACCTAGAACTGGGGTTAGGTTGTCTCGTGGTGTTCCTGCGCTTTTCCTGCGGTTGTCCCGCGATTATCCTGCTGGCTGTTTCGTGGTTGTCAGGTTTCCCCGTGAGACCGACATATCGTGACTCTGATATAAGAGGTAGTGGTACCGAACATAGATAGTGAGACCGATGGATGGCTGTACACACATATGTGTACCTAGCCATATACACATATCGTTGGAGCCACATACATGAACAGTGATGTCAGTAGACATAAGATGAGCCCGATAGACAGCGCTATCGAACAATATATACTGAATTTGACACATACGTTGATCTTGAGATCGGTAAATAGGTACGGGGAAGCTGGTTTAAACTAAGGGCTGGAAGCACAACAGACAGAGTGGTTAGAGGAGAAGAAATCGCGCTCGCGCGGGCCTGCGAAACTAAAAAACAAAGGGGGGGGGGCGCGCCCCAAACGCAAAAACATAGAGACCTCATGGTAGCCCCAAAGAGCCCCCAACCGGCCCGACGGCGATCTCCGCGCAGGAAAAGGCGAACCGTAGCGAAGGCGGATGGGGCTGGCCCAACACATGGAAAAACCATAGGCGTCGAACCAATCCTGCGGGGCTCCGCTCGGGCCGATGGCCAAAAACACAAAGGGCTGCCCCAAAGCAAAAAAAAATATCCCGGCAAAGCAACCTAACAGCGATGTGTAGGAGCATATCTGGAAGCATCCCCCTTAAGATTCAGATGAGAATCCAGTTGTAGAGTTCTGCTGTTCTCGCAGTCGTAGTCGCATTCGCGATGACAGTCGCAGTGGCCTGCATTAGCCTCAGCCTCAGCCTCAGCCTGCCTCAGCATCAGCCTCAGCCTCAGCTTCAGCCTGCCTCAGCCTCAGCCTCAGCCTGCTCCTGCATCAGCCTCAGTCTGCCTGCAGCCTCGGCCTCAGCCTCAGCCTGCCTCAGCCTGAGCCTGCCTCAGCCTCAGCCTCAGCCTCACCCTGCCTCAGCTCAGCCAGCCTCAGCCTCAGCCTCAGCCTCAGCCTCAGCCTTCAGCCTCGGCCTCAGCCTCAGCCTGCCTCAGCCTCAGCCTGCATCAGCCTCAGCCTCAGCCTCAGCCTGCCTCAGCCTCAGCCTCAGCCTGCCTCAGCCTCAGCCTCAGCCTGCTTCAGCCTCAGCCTCAGTCTGCCTTCAGCCTCGGCCTCAGCCTCGGCCTGCCTCAGCCTCAGCCTGCATCAGCCTCAGCCTCAGCCTCAGCCTGCCTCAGCATCAGCCTGCCTCAGCCTCAGCCTCAGCCTGCCTCAGCCTCAGCCTCAGCCTGCTTCAGCCTCAGCCTCAGTCTGCCTTCAGCCTCGGCCTCAGCCTCAGCCTGCCTCAGCCTCAGCCTGCATCAGCCTCAGCCTCAGCCTCAGCCTGCCTCAGCATCAGCCTGCCTCAGCCTCAGCCTCAGCCTGCCTCAGCCTCAGCCTCAGCCTGCTTCAGCCTCAGCCTCATCAGCCTTCAGCCTCGGCCTCAGCCTCAGCCTGCCTCAGCCTCAGCCTGCATCAGCCTCAGCCTCAGCCTCAGCCTGCCTCAGCCTCAGCCTCAGCCTGCCTCAGCCTCAGCCTCAGCCTCAGCCTCAGCCTGCCTTCAGCCTCAGCCTCAGCCTGCATCAGCCTCAGCCTCAGCCTCAGCCTGCCTCAGCATCAGCCTGCCTCAGCCTCAGCCTCAGCCTGCCTCAGCCTCAGCCTCAGCCTGCTTCAGCCTCAGCCTCAGTCTGCCTTCAGTCTCGGCCTCAGCCTCAGCCTGCCTCAGCCTCAGCCTGCATCAGCCTCAGCCTCAGCCTCAGCCTGCCTCCTCAGCCTGCCTCAGCCTCAGCCTCAGCCTGCCTCAGCCTCAGCCTCAGCCTGCTTCAGCCTCAGCCTCAGTCTGCCTTCAGCCTCGGCCTCAGCCTCAGCCTGCCTCAGCCTGCCTCAGCCTCAGCATCAGCCTGCCTCAGAATTCAAAATGTGGCCAGGGAATGGAAGTCTGGAACTCGAAGAACACGAAGTGGCCTACAGTTTGCTCCGGGCATTCAAAATCATGCCCAGGAATGGAGTTCTGGGAAGTCCAAGAGCACGAAGTGGCCTACAGTTGGCTCCGGGCATCCAAAATGTGGCCCGGGAATGGAGTTCTGGGAACTCGAATACCACGAAGTGGCCTACAGTTGGCTCCGGGCATCCAAATGTGGCCCAGGAATGGAGTTCTGGGAACTCGAAGACCACGAAGTGGCCTACAGTTGGCTCTGGGCATCCAAAATGTACGCTGGGAATGGAGTTCTGGGAAGTCGAAGACCACGAAGTGGCCTACAGTTGGCTCCGGGCATCCAAAATGTCGCCGGGAATGGAGTTCTAGCAGCGCCAAGAGCGATTTTGCGAGGATGTCCTAAGCGATTTGGGCTTCGGCGGCACCGCCCCGGGTCCCGCCCCGACCCCCCTGTGGAGTCATCTGCTGCTCTCTTTTGAGACCACTAGAAACCTATCAGCAAAAGCTGTTAGGTAAAAAAAAAAAAAAAAACAAGGGCCCGCGTGGCCAACAGGAGGCGGCCCTCGCTCAAACAAAAAAACACACCGCAGGGCGCCACGCAGAAATGAAACAAAGATCGTGTCGCGGCCTCGGCCACTGCGCCCGAGCCGCGGACTAGAAGACACAGAAGGCTGGCGCGCAAACAGAAAAACGTTTTCATGGAGGCGCCTGAAGCGGTCGGCCCAAGCCGAAATTGGAAAGACAAAGGCATCGCCCGAAAGCAAAAAAAAATGGCGTGGCGTCGAGAGCGCCCCGCGCGAGCGGGGCGCTCTCGACGCCATGTGACACGTGTCACCGCCGAAACCGTGTGAGAAAAAACAAATGCAAAATTACGATTCTGGGGGCCAACATGGTGTCAATCAGCCTCAGAAGAGCAGCGGGTGACACGTGCCAGCCCCGAAACCGTCTGAGAGAAACCTACTATAAAATTACGATTATGGGGGGCAACATGGTACCAATCAACCTCAGAAAAACAGTGGGCATTCCCTACGTACGTACGAATGCGGCAGATCCCTGGGGCACGCTGCATAAGGATCACGGGGCGTGGGGGACGGGCAAGCCCCATGGGGCGGCATGGGATGAGTCATTGGGCATGGGGCGCGCCCCATTGGGCATGGGGCAGGCCCCATGGTGAACAGGGCATGGGGCACGCCCCATTGGCCATTCAGCATGCGGCATGCCGCATTGGGCATGGGGCATGCCCCATGAGGCATGGGCCATGCCCCATGTGGCCCGCGACATCGGCCCTCGCGAATCAATGACACAGTGGTTGGGGTCGCCACGTGGGGTCGCTGTATGGCCGAGTTGAAGGAACACAACAGCTCGCCCAGCGGGAAAAAACAGAAAGACTTCGGCATGGCCTAGCGGAGCACCATGCAAGGCCAAATTGGTAAGCAGGATCTTCTGCCCGCGAACCAAATCAACGTTTTTGGCGTGACTGCGCGGGCCCGTCGCCGTTCCCGCAAGAGCAAGCACAAAGGCGCGCCTAATACCAAAAACACAAAGACTCCGGGGCAACCACGGTGGCAACCGCGCGACACAAACCAAAAAACGCAACGCCGAAAGCCCCCCCAAAAAAACCCAAACATCGCAATGCACCGTGCGACCCTCCCCCCCCCCCCGCGCGAGCCACTGCAGAAAAAAAAAAGCCTGGCCGCCGCCGCGCAAGAAAACGCCGTCGGCGCAAGCCATTTGGGCGGCCTACCTAGGCCAAACGAGGAAACACAAGCGGACGGGAACGCAAAGATGGTTACAAGGCTTTGGCGGGCGCGCGCGGGGCCCTTGGAATGAAACACAAGCGGATGGTTACAAAGATGAGTTTCACTAGCCCGTTTCAAGTTCGGTGCGGCCCGACGAGAAAAACACAACCGGAAGCCTGGAGCATGCAACACAACCGGGCCCGGCCCGCATATATGTTTCCAACTTCTCCGTAGTGAGACCGATAGATAACGGTTATCCGCGGTTCTCCCGTGGTTACCCCGGGTGGTCCCGAGATTGCCCCATGATTGTCCCGTAATGTTACTTCGGTTGTCCGCTTTGTCTGCGAATCCGACAAGTAGTGCGACTGGTACAAAATAGACTCCGATTGATAGTTCTACCGACTGATGAAAGTGGAACCGATGGAACTATTCATCGTGAGATCGATCCATAGATAACGATACCGGTAGGTTGAGAGACCGATACACTGTAAGGTCAATACATGGATAGTCATACCCATTGATACACAGCGATACGAATTGATAGGTAGGTAGGTCGACCAATAGAAATGAGATCGGTAGATATAATGATCGCGATGTCGACAAATACTTGATGTGACGAGACATGGCTAGATGGATAGATAGTGAGATCGGACGGCAGATTGTGCAAACAATAAATTAATAATAAGACGGATAGACAATTCCAATGACTGATGCGTAGAAAATGGGACCGGCAGACAGATTGATGGCGAGATCGATCCATTGATAGAGAGACCGATAGGTAGCCAGATCGATACACAGTGAGGTCACTAGACAGGAATGCGAGAATCATAAATATCTAAGGCCAATAGAGGGCGA